AGCGTGGCTCCGTGGACGAGTGTCGACCTGTGAGCCAGGAGGTCACGGCTCCATTCCCGGTCAGGCACACGCCCGGGTTGTGGGCTCCATCCCCAGTTGGCAATAAAGACACATTTTTTTAAATAAAAAAGAAGAAAAAGGGCCGGTGTGCTGGGGGCAGGGGACGAGCGTGGCTGGAACAGGCCGTGGTTGGAACAGGCCACGAGGAACCCCAGGCGGCCAGGGCCCCGGACGCATCGCGCGGCTCACTCCGTCCTACCCGCTTGGGCCCGAACAGGTTGTTGTACAGGGTCCGGAAGCTCTTGCGGGTGTAGTGGCAGCGGTAGGCGCCCCCCATGAGGTACTCCAGCACCAGGCCGATGTCGATGAGGCTGATGTGGTAGTCGGGCGGCAGGTTGCCCTGCGAGGGGAGAGGCTGCGTCTCAGGCCCCATGCGAAGCGTGGACCTCGTCACCCCCTGGGGCCCGAACGGTCGCTCCCGGCCACGGAGTGGGTGCCGTGGAGCTGAGGGCCTTAACCAACGCACAGGCCCGGCCAGTAGAGAGAGAGAGAGAAATCAGCGCCATCAGGGGACTAATGCCCTTCGTACGTTCGTCGTCGGGCAGAGGCCGCCCGGCCGGCGTGGCTCCGTGGACGAGTGTCGACCTGTGAGCCAGGAGGTCACGGCCCTGCAAGGGGAGAGGCTGCATCTCAGGCCCCGCAAGAAGCGTGGACCTCGTCACCCCCTGGGGCCCGGGCGGTCGCTCCCGTCCACCGTGTGGGTGCCGTGGAGCTGAGGGCCTTAAACAACGCACAGGCCTGGCCGGCGGGGCTCTGGCACACGCCCGGGTTGTGGGCTCCATCCCCAGTTGGCAATAAAGACACATTTTTTTAAATAAAAAAGAAGAAAAAGGGCCGGTGTGCTGGGGGCAGGGGACGAGCGTGGCTGGAACAGGCCGTGGTTGGAACAGGCCACGAGGAACCCCAGGCGGCCAGGGCCCCGGACGCATCGCGCGGCTCACTCCGTCCTACCCGCTTGGGCCCGAACAGGTTGTTGTACAGGGTCCGGAAGCTCTTGCGGGTGTAGTGGCAGCGGTAGGCGCCCCCCATGAGGTACTCCAGCACCAGGCCGATGTCGATGAGGCTGATGTGGTAGTCGGGCGGCAGGTTGCCCTGCGAGGGGAGAGGCTGCGTCTCAGGCCCCATGCGAAGCGTGGACCTCGTCACCCCCTGGGGCCCGAACGGTCGCTCCCGGCCACGGAGTGGGTGCCGTGGAGCTGAGGGCCTTAA